AAAAAAATGATGGTTAAGGCTTTTTTGTGATTTTAAAGTTTAGTCCTTTTTTACAGAGTAGGTATCATTTCAGAAAAATTACGTAAAAACCATTAGGAAATAAATTCGTCATTCTACTTTCAATTTGTAGGTTATGTTAGACCATACAGTTCGACGTTCCGATATTTTCGCGATTCCTATGTTCCAGGTCCACGCCCCTTAAAATGCAAATTACCGTTTTATGATTTCCAGCGAGTTACCGAAGGACAATGTTCTCTTTGTCTTTTTCAGATCGCGGTCTGGTTACGATTCTAGCAGCGGCGGAGAGTCTGACAACGAGTGCAGTGCCACCGTCTGTCGTGGGGCGAGCAATCAGTCTCAGAACCCGACTACGACAAATGCGAGCAATCATGGGCAGGGAAAGCACATAAACAAAGGAAGGTGGACCAAAGAGGAGGTAATCAACCGGAAGTTCCATGTTAAACATTCAATTAAAACGAGATCGTACTATAATCTCAAACATTTTCAAAACTATGAACCATTCAAATTTCGTTATTTCTAAAACTTTTTCTCTCAACCTAATTGTTCATTCTCAAATCTAAAACATTTATTGAATGTTTGAATAATTGATTACTGTATGAAGTGAATCTAAAATTCGTCGTTATCACCATGGTAACAATACTGTTGCATGAATTCTTCTATTCTTCTCTCTCTCTCTCTCTCTCTCTCTCTCTCTCTCTCTCCCCCCCCCCCCCCCCCCTCTCTAGTGAAGCTTGATATTTCAGAGAGTGTACACGTGATCGCGTCATCATAGCGTGACTTTGATCGGATGTAACGCGAAAGGGGAGGGATACAATGAGCATAGGTCTCGAAAAAAGGTCCACCCTTCGTACCTTCTACAACGAGTTACGTCCGTGGGCAGATGCCCTCGACCACCCCATAGTCATATGCGCGGCCATAGTGCACAGGGCGCGCCGTATGGTTTCCCGTGGGAAACATCACAGACGACCTATCGATCCCGTGCATTTGTTACGTCACCTTTTTCTTTTCTTCCTTTTTCATTCTGACATAATTGCGAAATGAAATGTCTCACAGTGTTCATTCGAAAATTTGGGCCTGTATTCAATAATTTCATTTGTAATCTAAACTTTCTCACGTCGAGTTATTGTAATACTAAAAATTAATATTATACATTTGCGGTAAGTGGTAAAGAATAACCCCGTTTTGATAGATACTTTAACGAAAAGAATCTTTATTTATATATATGTATATATCGTTACATTATTGAAGGTCAACCTTGCTTTCTTTTTCAACGTGACACGATGTAACCTCTGATACAGTAAACAAAGAGAAGTGGCGCATAGTGCCATCTATTATCGTTGACATGGAATAACTAATTCTTACCGGCATATACCGATTTCTTCATTCAACAATAAAAAGCTGAACCTAACCTTTACACTGATCAGCACAATCACCTCTATTTCTCTTCACTTCGATTTATTAACAAAATAAATCAAAAATATTCCGAAGAAAAATTGCTGACCTCTTTCTTAACACGAATAAAATACAAAATCGTGGTGATAAATGTAAAATATAAATCATACATTAGACATATTTCACCTCATTAATATACTCAAAAAGAATCGTCACGCTTTTACCAAATGCTTGAACCGGAAATGTACTCGCTACACGAGGCAGTATAAAGTAAATTGTTAACCCGAATTTCGCACAGCAAGTCCTCTCATCGATCATTGCTCGTCGATGGTCTTCAAACGCACCTGCTTTTTCGAACGGGGTCACGCTTATCAGGGTTTTTGCATTGCGTGTCAAGCTTTAAGGGACCACCTCATGCGCGCCACCTTTTTTCTGACCGCGTGTCCATACATATAACGTATGTTCTCGTTCGAACGGATTCCAGGACGCTCTGCTGAAACAGCTAGTGAGCAACGCTGAACAACACGGAACTGGACTTCGATGGGACACCGTAGCCGGTCACTTCCCAGACCGAAGCGACGTCCAGTGTCAGCAGAGATGGGCGAAGGTCGTGAATCCGGAATTGGTTAAAGGACCATGGACGAAAGAGGTGAATGAAAATTGTTAAAGCTTAATTCATTTATGTACAGGGTGTTTAAAAAAAGAAATGTTAACGCTTATATGAAAAATTTGTAGGTGTGCATACTTTTTATTGAAAAGGAACAGTCTATGCAAAAGAAAAGAGGATTCTAAGAATGTGTTTGCGATGTGTGAACATTTTTTTAACCGCCCTGTAGATAGTACCATTTTGATTTTTCTTGACTTAGAAATTGAATGAAATCTTCAAGATGAATTTTCATTTAATATTCTTGTGACAGGGATATTATTCATTGAGTATATTTAAAAATTTTTTAAATTATTTATTGTTGGCCAAGGTTTCCATCGTTGATTTAATAATCAAGGTCTTAGAGTCCAGTATTGAATTGAATGAAACATTAAGGGGGAATAATTAATAGTTGACGATCGGCGTTCGAATGATACCTTGTTTATGGAGTATGGATGCTGTAAAAGTGATAATTAACAATTGATGTATGTACCTTCTTCATTGAATAACAGTCTGACAGACAGTACCATTTCAACGAATTTCAATTAACCTCATTTTCACCCGATAACCGACCAGTTCAGATCGAATGAAACTTCGAGAAGACCCGTTACACCCTCTTCACCGAACGTAACCAGATCTGTCCACGTATTTGGCAAACGAAGTCCGCGCTTAAAGGTTGTGTAACGGTCCTTGGGAACTTTCTTTCTTTACCCTGGACCAAGAACTTCACAAACCACCGAAATCCTCTTAAAATCACGTTGCTGAAGAAAATTCCCGTATTTTTCAATAAAAAATTGAATATAAAATTAAAAGATTGACAGTCCAGAATATTTAATATAATATTTAATTCTAACCCTATACCATGTGACAAAAAATTTGCATATCAATCAGTTGCATTACAGTAAACTAAGTCACGTATTTTTTATTTTAACGAAACGAACCCAAACAAGTGAAAAAATAAATCTTTTCGAACAACAAGATAACTCCTCTTTACCTATTAAAATCATAACCTCTAAAAGTCGACCGACACCTCGTGTCACATAAACCCCTCAACACTGCCATTAGTAAAATCACCCTACACATAACCATCAATTTCCACGAAACACCCTAACCTCTCACTATAACTTCGAATCTCCCTGAAAAATCCACACAGGGATTCTCAATCTTTCTACATCAAGTCACCCAGACACACCGAGCATCTTGGTGCTTCATCGAAAGCTCGAAGGTTCGAATCCATAACGGCACGGCCCTGCCCGGGCACGTACGCCTACACGTAGGCAGCAGCCTCCTCTCTTTCTTCTTCGTTCCGTCCGTCGCCACACGGTGGGGTATGCAACAAGAAAAAGAGCCCGCGAGAGGTCCGCGGAGATGCAGCGTCGTCGTCGTGCCAATGCACTTGGCAACAGCCAAGGGCAAGTAAAGCCTCCGAAGCACCGCGGTGTACACGCGGTCCATGGATCCGCGTCGGTGTGCACCTGATTCTTCGTGGTATGGGAGCGTCCTCGTTGCTGGCAACCTCCCTCTTTGGCCCCCTTCTGCCCCCCCATTCCCTCCCTCGCGTCGCACCGTTTCGGCCACCACGATCATCTCCACCGCGTGTGTCGTCCTCTTCCTCTCCTCTCCTTTCGTTTCAGACGCCTCCTTTTCGACCTACCGCCTCGTTCTCTGCCTGCCTGTGTGCCTCCCTTCGGCTCTTCTCCTCGCCTTCGAGAAATTACTCGCGAGCTGGACCTGCCTTCCGGTGTGATCATGCTCGATCCGTCACTTAGAGATATGGGGTTTACTGGCGTGTTCGAGACACCGCATGTGTGACGTGGAGAAGAACTGTTCTAGTGAAAAAGGTTAAAGATTTGAACTTCAGAAGGGAGGAAGGTATTTGTGAGGGTTCCAGTTTGAGGATTGGAGGATGTTGATGTTTTAGGTTAGATTAGAATAGCTCTGTAGGTACACAGGATTATAATTGTCGGTTTGATGTTTAGCATTAAGGGGTGGGTATGGCTTGGAAATAATTTTAGAGATGTTAAGTATGATAATTTCAGATGTATGGAATTGTGTGTGAGGATTACAATAATATAGGATAGAACATTAAAGTAATTCCTCAGGTATATTGTTCCATGGTGTTTATTGAGGTGTACCTTCTTATTAGGAGACCCCAAAGGTAGGTCTTCTACCTCTTAGTCTTCCTGTTATTATTGTTTCTCTGTTTGATGACCCAAGGTTACTTGTAATCCACACTTATATTCAAATAACTAAACGGAAATATATTATCTACTTGTATAAAACCAAAGATAAATACAATGGAATAAAAGAAAAGTACAATTTGTATATGTTTATCACTGCCTTCTTTTCATCCGTAACCAATTAGAACACCCTGTATATATCAATCGATGAGAATACATGAGAATTAATTTCAATGTTTCACCAATAGTTCCAACAGTCAAGCATAAATGCTCCAATCGTTCCCTGTACTGATGATCGGTGACGTTCACAGGAGGACGAAAAAGTGGTAGAATTAGTGGAACGATACGGACCGAAGAAGTGGACGTTAATTGCGCGGCATCTGAAGGGTCGTATCGGTAAGCAGTGTCGAGAACGATGGCACAACCACCTGAACCCAGGTATCAAGAAGACGGCGTGGACGGAGGCCGAGGACAGAATCATCGTCGAGGCGCACCGCAGGGTGGGCAATCAGTGGGCGAAAATAGCGAAATTACTGCCGGGTAGGACGGATAACGCGATAAAAAATCATTGGAACAGCACTATGAGGAGGAAATATGAGGCTGAAGATGGTAGATCCACCACCAGCACAAGAGGTATTTGTTACTTTCAATATTTCTTTACAATAATTCAAACCTTTCCACTGATATTCATTTCTAATTTGATTTAAAATGAAAATATAAAAAATTTAGCTGAAAAATTAAAATTTGATATTATATTAACAGGGAGAGGTAGAAGAAAAGTCACGGAGTCTTCAGTGACCTCTAAAGACACCCTGTGCACAGAGGAAGACATCTCAAGTCAAGGTCGTTTGAAAGCAGCGTCCACGAGCAACGAGAACGCCTCGACTGTGACCACTGTACAACCTCACACTCTGGATATTGCACAGCTTGACTGGACCAGGGCTTGGGACAATCAGCAGAGTAGCCAGACCTTCCAAGGTCTCCTGGGTCTGAATGAACGTACGGATAGCAGCGAATCTCGGTTGGAATCTCCTTCGAAGAGAGGGAGTTCCTCTTGTAGAGTCAAGACTGAACAAATCTCACCCTTTACCAAGTATGTTACCCTTCAAACAGATGAGTGTTCAAATTTTACTTGAAAGAATTCCTCATTTACTAATATATCTTGCAGGTATTTCGATTTGCAAATACAAGGTGAGGCGACCAGTTCCAAGAGCTCAGAGATCAGACTAATGCCCATGCCAGACCTAGAAGAAATACCAGATGCTATCACGGAGAAAGAGAGGAGCAGTCCACCGCCAATACTACGTCGACGTAGAAACACCCAGACCCTTCAGCAGAGGACGGAAACTCCTGACAGTGCGAACCAATCTGATTACTTGATAATAAGCCAGCAACAACAACAGACTGGTGACACTACCCCATCCACGCCCATAAAACAACTGCCATTCAGTCCGTCACAGTTCTTGAACAGTCTGAGCCCTGAGACGTCCTCCTGGCCACGAGCGAGCACCCCCAAAGGAAGTAGCCCTGGTCCACTCACCACACCACAGCCTACTGGTCTTCGACGAAGTCAGAATGGTACACCATTATTTTCTGCTTTGAATTTTTGCGATGGTGAAAGAAATAATATTGTGGACAATCTGTTAATTTTTAGTTCTCTGTTTCTAATTGATCACGAGATATTGAACTTCCAAAAGCGTGAATAAAATATGAAAAATATTTTTTATCATAGACGGTAATACACCAAGGACACCAACGCCGTTCAAAAACGCGCTAGCGGAACTAGAACGGCGCAGCGGCGCGACTACTCAGTTACCTGCCACCCCCAGTCGTCTAGACGCTTTAACGGAGATCATCAAACAGGAGACAGATCGTGAAAGTCTAGCAGGGACTAGTACTATCCTTCAGGACTCCGGTTACAGCACGATCAGACGGCGGGGTAAGGAGAACAGTGCACCTGGTGGAAAAAGAGCACGTAAAGCTCTCTGTCAAGCCTGGGCAAATGCTTCTCAGGATAATTCTGAAATGAGTTTCGTTGTAGAAACACCAGTAAGTTGAATATCATCCCTTAAGTTTGTTGTATGTTGTATAATTAAATAAATGTAATTTAGTTAAGTAATTTATTTTTTATTTTAATTACAGAGTAAAAGTTTGGACACTTCGGTATTGTTTTCACCGGCATCCATGGCATTGGAGGATAGTTTTCTAACGGCAGGGACTAGTCCCGTGAAGGTAGAGAACCACATCCATAATCAAATTCAAATACAAACTCAACCAGCCCTATCCTGGTATTATTCCCGTACCAATCGCCTCTAGACACGCTAGCCGGCCTTCTTCTTAACTCTCTAATGTTTAACACTTTGTCTCTTTCTCTCCTTTGTTTATTAGTACTTAATACAATTTTGCCTGCTTCTTTTAAATTAACGTTAAAAACAGTGCCTCGTTGCTTCTCTTTCTATTTCTCTCTTCTACACCGTTTTCCTATTCTTTTTTAATTTATGATTAAATGTTAAACACCAAGGCGCGCGAAGAATTACTTAACCTTGTATTTATCTCCCTAGTAGTCCATCATCGTCATCGATTCCCTTCTCGTCGCCCTGGTATCGTCCAATCCAAAGATTATTAGCGTTCTTTTTATTTTCTTTAAATTTTAAGTGTATAATTATAGAGTAACATGACTAACATTAACGGCGTAAATATCGGTTTGTTCTATTTATACAATTAACTTATTTTTTTTTTATTTTAACGGCGCGTATGCTTTCCCTGTTAAATTATTTATGAGATACGTAGTATGTTTAGTAAGCTTGAAGCGTAACTTATGATCATGAAAAAAAAAAGAAATGTTTCGTGTTATTTAATTGTCATTAATTATGTCGTGGTGGTCTCGTTAAAGGAGCCAATCTTGTGGAGTACTTAATTTTTTTTTTGCGTGTATAACAATGTTTATTTTTTGCCGAACGTTCATCGTTCATCGTTGCTCTACATTGGAAACAACCGTACTCTTTCGCGTGCGAACAAAAATCCACGATCTTCTGATACTGCGCATGCACAGTCGGTGCGTGTACAGTCGATCTTGTTTAGTTTTTCTTTTTACTTTATTCTTCGTCTTTTTCTATAATTATTTTTGTTTGTTTACGGAGAATTAAATCACGCACTAGATTCGTTCCATTATCTTCTTTTTTTTGTTGATTATTCGTGTATATACATTGATACTTCGGGGACGAAGTGAACTGATAGCATTCATCTTGGTGAAACCGTGAAATTGATTATTTTTTTATCGTAAGAGACTGTACAAGATACAATCATGACACAGCATCTTCATTAAAGAAAGTCAATAACGACAGTCATTTTTTATGGTACTTTCTAACGTCAAAATGTCTATAAGTTACTGTAAGAACGATCCTGTGCACAGCAGGTTAAACATGTGTACGTAAATGTATGATAAAATACTAGTATTTATTTTAAATAATAAAAA